CTCATACGACAGACTACAATAACAGAGTAATTTGGAAAATTTAGTACTAGTTGATTTACTCGAAAGTTAAAAATGAATCCAATACTATTTGCATAATCGTTTGAAAAGAATACAAATAACTAAAACAAGAAATAATTTAAACACGCCCTTAATTAAACCCTATTACACTTGATCTGCGAAAGAATCTTGTTGTTCAAGAACTTAGACATGAATCTATAAGCCTTTTGTGTCAAGTGGACTCCGTCCCAACTTATGAACTTGTCTGGATTCGAACACACCGGTACTCCTACTGCTCCACATGGTCTCTTACCATCGTAGTTATAAGCACCACCACCGATCCCACAACAAGATTTCAAGGCTACACTCTCGTCAAATCCTCCACCACGTAGAACGTATTGTAGTAATCTCCATAAACTATAACCCCATTAGGAAACTCTTTCCTTAAAGAAGCTATAGCTTCTTGGAGTTGGTTATTGTGATCCATAGCGAATTCGTTGAGATGTTTCAAGCAACCTTTTTCGTCGTAAGCTTTTGGATCTTTCACAGGGAAAGACGTTAAGTAAATAGGAAAACAACCAACCGGAAAGTTTCCCGGTAAGTTAACCGCACCGGCTCGTATCACTTCTCTAGCTGTGGCTGTGATGGCTCCAACAACGTGAGGTATGTAGCTTCTGGTTTCTTCCATTGGTTTACCTTGGAAGAAACCGTAGTTGTAGTCGTTGCCTCCGATCTCACCGACCATGAAAAGAGATTGCTTCAAGTTCAAGCAATCCGAAGAAGAAGAGGTTTGACACCTGGAACGTAGGTAGATGGGACTTGAACCAAGCTAGTTGAGTTGAGAGAGGAGTGTTTGTTGCCGGAACGTGGAGGTTTCTTGCGGTGAAGAAAGAGCTGTTTAAGGCAGTGCTTCCGGAGACGGCGAAGTTAAATCCGTTCTTGAAAGAAGACAACTTTGTGTTACCGTTTAGGTAAGGGTTTAAAAGTGGTAGATGAAGTTGCGTGCCAAGTAATCGATCATGAGTTGACCGTTTGAGCAACGACCGGTGGCTCGATGGAAATATGTTTGACCGTATGGGAAATTAGCGGAGTGAGATTTGGCTCCGACAGGACCGTTACGGATTAGGTTTCCGGTGTCGGATATTGAGTCTCCGAATTGGTAGATGGAGTTGATCGGACATGGTTCCGTGGCATGAACAAGAGACACGAAGAGTAGAAAAACAAGAAGCGATAATGCTTTGGTCGTTGACATTGTTTAATTTAGACTTTAGAGAAAGATGAGAGACTTGGTGTTTATGTGTGTTGTATTTATAGAGAGACTATAATGTAGAGAGAGAGGCACACGTTTTTGTTTCCTTTGTTAAATTGACTTTAGTTTTTCTTTTTCTGTTGAGTCAAAAATCTCATAATCTTTTTGTATAGAGGTTTGATATGGTATTAGGCCACAGCTGAACAATCTTAGATTGTCATCTAAATTTAAAAATTAAACAGTTTTGCAATTAAACGGCATTATGCAGTTATGGTTTTTTAGGTAGTTGTAGATGACATTACACATTTTTATCAATTTTCTTTTCTACACAATCAATTGTCATTTAATTTTTAAATTTGTTTGTTTGATGTATTTTTTCCAATTTCTAGTTGCATCGAATTAAATTTATATGTTTTAACTTCATAAATACCTAAAGCCAACATATGTTGTTTAATGTAAATTGACTTGATTTGATTGTTACATTTATATTGAGTTTTAATATGATCAATATAAGATACTACTGCTCACACACAAAAAATGATTAGAAAAAATAATTTATTTTTGTATTTTTAAATGGATGTTTTTGTCTAATTCTTGACATTTTTAAAATAAAAGATTGAACAAGAGAGATTTTTTTAAAATAACCTAATGAATTAGAATATACTTTAAAAAAATACGCCACGTTCAAAAATTTAATAATTGAGCTTTCAAATATAAAAATCAAACAAATATAGTATTAGGATAAATTCGAGA